CTCTTAGATTATATGCAGCTTCCTGTCTCTTCCCCTGCCCATCTGGGAAGCAGACTATAAAATCACTTGTATTGCCTATAAACCCACAGCAGTTCAAATGGCTTTGAGCTGTGCTATGACTTTAAGATGCTCTTGTCCTTTGGTGTTGCATTGTTTAGCAGCACATGCCCACTAGCAATGGGCTTGTGAAAGATCGAGACACATGGGGCATTGTTAGTTAGCTAGCATTGGATTGTAAAGATTTGTGATGTGTGGGATCTTACCATCATGGAGCATCCAGATCAAATTGATGTTTGTGACAATTGCAATGAAGAATATCTGGCAATACTGGTAAAGGAAGGTGAGGCTAAATAATTAGTTCTGTCCTAGATGTAGCAATCTAAATCAATTTCTGAAAGCTGCTTACCGTTTGGGATATTTATGGCAATGTGATAAGTAGTCGAGGGGATGTGTGGTTAACGTTTTTGGTGCTTTACTTGGACAGCATGCTATATTAAGAGTGATTTTCTGCCTTAACTGAACTTGCACTTTATGAACAAGTTCTGGCAGCTTTCCAACTTTACATCGCAGCAGCTGAAGAATTTACTGTGTTGTTCTAAGGTGACCTTGGTGGCTTTCACTCTGCTTAACCCAGCAGACTGACATTGTGGTTGGTCGGCCCTGGTTTTGAAACTTGTCTACAGTGTCCATCGCTTTCCAGGTTCCTCTTAATTAGCTCAAGAATTTGTTGCTGCGCAGAAAATTTTAGAACCACATTGTGAGTATGTATTCTTTCGATTAGAGTGATTCCTGTTAAACAAGATTGATATTCTATCACCCCCTAAAATTCCAAGAAATTGCATTCTGTAACACCTTCAGCATGTTAAACATCCCAAGGCTCTTTTGACACACTTTTCAGACCTGTGACTTCTGCCTTCTAGAAGAACACTTGCAAGCTTCCTTTCAAATGGCACAACACTGTGACTTGGAACATTAGTACCTTTGTTCCAATGACAGTGTCAAAACATTGGCATTTTACATGAATAGAGAAGTGCTTTGAGCTGTTGGCAGCTCATTACAGTCCAGCTTCTGTGACAGGCACAGAAATTTCTGTCATCACCTATCCCTGAAGGAAGCCACTTGCGATTAAAGTTTTCACTCTTATTTTGCATATTTTTGATAGGGGGAAAAAAGTGGTCAAAGAGAAATTTCATTAAGTATCTTAAAGGAAGAAGGTGGAAAGTAGAGAGTTGGAGACCTGTAAGGAGGACGTTCCAAAGCTTAGTGTCCAGGCAACTGAAAATGAAAGAATTTAAAATCATGTAGAGTTTTACAGGTTTGTGGGACTGCTGTGTGCAAAATGACTGACTGCCCTGTTCCGTGCATTGTAATAGGCATAAGACCATAACTAATAGGAACAGGAGTAGGCCCATCGAGCCTGCTTCGCTGTTCAATAGGATCATGGCTGATCCGACACATCAACTTTCATGTCCTCTCCCCATAACCCTTGATCAAGAATCTATCTCAGCCTTATAAGGACTGTGTGCTGACAATACTCTGTGGCAAGGAGTTCCAAAGATTCTCAACCCTGAGAGAAAAAATTCCTCCTCATCTCAATCTTAATCTCAGAATAAGGAGCTCCAATTTATGCCTTCTGGCCCTAGACTTTTCCGGGGTGGAAATATCCTCTCTGCATTTAACCTGTCAAGCCCCTTAAGTATCTGATATGTCTCAATGATCTTTCAGAAAACTCATTTTGTAAGCATTTTCAAATGTTAGTTTCCAAGTAATTGAGACTCTTCAAGTACTTATCTTGAATACACATTCACGTACACATTTAAAATCGTGTGTAACCTTTTGTTATTTTGGCATAATAGCTGGAAATAATGAGAATCACACCATATGCATAGAAGTACGGTGCTGTGCCCTTTTATAATGCAGTAGTAATCTCTGAAATGTCGCATTTTGGTTAACATGCTTCATATAGCTTTGGACTCTGACTCTGAATTGTCCAAAGACTTTAAAAATTGCATTTTGATTTAGGATCATCGAGCATTTTTCATACAATCAATGTAGGCGTTGATACAGGTACATAGTGCACTCGATGTTCAGTGTTTAATCTTTCTGTTCAGAGTCCTACAGGTTTAGCAACAGAAGTGTGAGCAAACTTGGTATGAGGGTGTAGTTTGTTTACAAGACGAGGTCAGAGATCTTGTTTCATGATATTATAAATAAAAGGGTTTATTTAGTATTTGAATAAAGTTCTCAGGTGATGCTCTGGGATATTAGCCTGGCCTTATCAGGTTTGCATCGACCTTAATGACTGGAGTTGTATTTATAATGTACCAAGTCTGCTCATCCACCATTTTTGAGTTGCGTTAGCTTGCAGTCACCCACCGTCTCTAAGTGAAAATTCCCATCCTCATGTTAGCACCCCCCTGCCTTGATCCCATCCTTCTATATTTTTGTTAACTTGCTACAAAGCTTCAATCCCACCTGAATTTTCTCTTCCAACTCTCAACTTGTGCATTCCCACCATTTGAAACATTCCCAGTGCCTTTCACAGCTCCATCTCTTCTCAAAACCAACCACTTTATTATGGTCATTCCATTTAATACATCCTTTTTTTTTTGGATTTAAGTCCATATTTTATTTGCTGTCTAAGGCAATCTTGCACTGCATTTCTGCTATATTTAAATGTGAGTTATTGTTGCTCTCTTTCCAAAGGAGTAATAGAGGTTGTTGTGATTCATCGACTTAATGAGTTCAAAGACTTTGGAAAGTCCAAGGCCCAACATAAACTATGGTCTATACATTTGTTTGAAATTTGAACTTTCACTTCTGTTTTCAAAACATTCAGGCTTGCATCCAAAGTTCAAATAACATTCCTTGTAAACTTCTACATCAAAGAAGAAAAATATTCAGAATCCCACCTTTTTATTATTCAGCTGGATGCTGACCCAGGCAAGCAAACAAGGACTTTTGTTTACATAGTGCCTCTCAGGATGTGCTGAAGTGCTTTACAGAATTCTACAAGCAAAATTGCACAAATAGCAATGATAGAAAAGAGTAGCTAAAGTTCTTTCTTTGTGATGTCTGTTTAAATATTGGCCAAGACACTGGGGGGAGCAGCTCCTGCTCCTCTTTTGAAAAGTGGAATCATGGGATCTTTTAGGTCCACGTGGTGTTTCGCTTAAATTGCAGTCTGCCTAACAGTGCAGCACTCTCTCGGTAGTGCACCAGAAATGTCAGCCTGGATTTTGCTCCAAGGTCTCTAGGACAAGTCTTTAACCCACAAGCTACTGACTTGGAGATGAGAATGCTACTGATTGAGCTGCAGCTGATCATTACAATATTTAACATTCTCCAAACAAAGCTACTGAGAAATCTGCATTTGTTTGCCTACTGTAGACAGCATGCCTTAATGGCTTAGGAACACATCCACTTCTGTCAAAATAGCAAAATTATGATTTAATCAACCTATTCCACTGCACAATCACTGTACTATTCCTCTCTCAATATTTTGTATGAACGCTGCCAGAATTCAACCAGTTGGAATCCTGTATCTCCCACTGGTATTGGCAAGTCTAGAAATGTTAACTAGCTTTAAAAAAAAGTCAAAAAAGGCTTGGGGCCAATTAGGGATCAACAATGAGATAGTTAGCCCTGTTTCAAACTCATACATTGTAAGAGTCTAATTCAGAAGTTCACGGTGATGATTGTTTTTTCTAACTTGTCTGGAATCTGGCCAGTCCACAACAACCAGTACCCACAGTACACTGCTGTGGGTACAGAAGCCAAATGGAGTGGTTTGAAATGTGCATGGTATCAGGTTGGCTGCGTTTGATAGCAATCTCACCTTTGAGCTACAATATCATAGGTTTGAGTTACATTCTGAAGACTTGAGCTAGTCCAGACTGACACTGTGCTATACTGAGGAGATGCTGTTTTTCATCTGCACTGTTAAACCAAGGCATTTTCTGTAAGGTTGACATAAAATAATCCATCACATCATTTTTTAAAAAATGGGGAAATTTTCCTTGATGTCTTGGCAGATATTTAGGCTCTTGAAATAGGCTGTAACTGTGTGTATTTAAAGCACGGTTGTTAAATTTCTACTGGATTGATGTTGAGAGAAACAAACTGAAACCAGTTGCAAGCAACAACGGCAAGTACAGCCTAGCACTCACTTACAGGATTTGGAACTTTAATTATTGTTGAAGGTCATGATTACAAAGTCGGGATGATTTATATTTAATTGCAATACATTTTAGTCATAAATTCACCATACCTCACTCTGTCTTTTGGTTCTTCCCAATTCCCCTCAAGCTGTTTGTTCAAATTGAAACATGTTCATGAGTGCAGTTGCTGTTTGCCATGGATCATTAAGCTGAATGGTGTCGGTCCCATGTAATAAATTACTTTTGTTTTTGTCTCTCTCCCCATAAACAAACATCCATTGTCCCCCAGCTCAATTCCTACTTGTATTTCCTATTTACCTTATGGGTGAAGGTCCTTGGGGTGAACACTCAGTGTTTCCATGTTGCAGTGGTGTTCCTGACTCCCATCACATCTATCCTCTACAGTTCATGCTTTACCCAGTCCAACACATTAGGGCTCAGCATCTGTTTAGAAACTAACAATGCCCTCTAAATTGGTCCCTCATCAGCTAGAACAGAGCAGTGTGAAAATGTAGGAGTGGTGCATAAATATAGGTTAGGTATAGAGAACATAAGTCATTAAATACTTTACTTCTCGTGACCAGTTCTTAATCCAAACAAATCATATATTAGCTCTGCAAAGGGCAGATAGAATAAACGGGGAGTGACTGTTTTCGATAGGAGGGTGCAGATTTAAAAGCATGATTACTCTTTTTATGGTGGCTCGTGTTTTTAGTGTTAATGTTACATCTGTAGGACGCTGTTCTGCAAATAGAATTGTGTTCTTCTGTTTTTTTTTCCTTGGTTTGTTTTAACCCAAAGTAAAAAGTTGTCTATTCTAATTTCTACTTCCCTCCCCAGTTCTTAGCTCCAACAGGGTGGATCAGATGACCAGGACGTACAATGACACCGATATGGTCACACACCTGCTGTCTGAGGTGAGTTATGCTTTAGTTACAATAACGTTACCTTAACTCAACTATTGTAAAGGGAAATGTTTAGAAATCAAAAAGGAGCATTAACATCTAGTATATCAGTCGGTTCTATAGGATGTAGCTCTGAAACTGACGCAAGGACTGGTGCAAATTTGACACCTTGCATCTTTTACAGTCAATATTTGAAATTTTCACAAACAGAATCATTCTGCACTGGAAGCTATTTAGCCTATTGCAGTTATCCTGGCTTATTAAAAACCTAGCAATCAGTGTCACTTCTTTTTGCACTTTTACAACATCCTGTAGACTTTTCTCTTTCAAATTTATATTCAATTCCTCTTTGAAAGCTCCTATTGAATCTGTTTCCAGGCAGCAATTTGCAGGTTATCATAATTAACTGAGTAAGAAATAATTACCTTCTTTCCTCTGATTCTTTTGCCAATTAACTTAAGTCTGTGGTCTTGGATTATCAGCCTTGTTGCCAGCGGAAACAGTTTCTCCCTTTATCTCTGTCGTAATCGCTTCTTTTTAAATACATCCTGTTTGTTTATTCGCTGAGGTTGAACATGTATTTCAAGTTGAAAAGATGCCTGTGCTTCTCTAAATGTTGTATTCTCACTCGCACCCTCAACTGACTACTTGGAGATTGCAATAATCCAGTATTTGAGGTATATAATTTTTGCTGGTTTAATCAAGAGTGCCAGTTCATAAGGCGCAGGTTAAGACAAAGTTTGTTATATTTGTTGGGTTAGATGGTAGATTTTTGGAGTTGACGAAATGAATTGAATGTGCAACCACGAGAATGCGATACTTCAAGAATTAAGCTCATTACACCTGTGAGAATGTCATTTTGCATTTTGTTTTTTTTTGATTGGCAGAGAGATCGTGATTTGGAATTGGCTGCCCGAATAGGTCAGTCCTTGTTACATCGGAACCGGGTACTGACAGAGAGAAATGAGCTCTTGGAAGAACAGTTGGTTCAGGCTTATGATCAAGTGAGTGGTCATTTTCAACGTAAGTGGGCTTAATTATGAAATCAAGCGCAATTGATTCACTTCTAGGGAAGGAAATGTGTTGTTTTTGTTTCCAGTCTAGCCCACGAGTGACTCCTGTCCAATGCTAATGCCCCTTGAAGTGATTTAGCAAGGCCCTCAGTCAAAAGGGTAATGCTAGTCTTTCAGTTCCACATTCTAAGAATGAATAGATAAAATAAAAAATCTGAAATAAAAATAATCTGAATCAAATGGACGAGTAGACTTTATAACATGGTATTAATTTAAAAATGTAGCCTTTGAAATCAGAATGTTATCACTTGAGTCCAATATGACTCCTCTTCGGACTGAAGAGGCATCGTATTGATCTCAATGTTAATTTTGTCTCTCTCCACAGATGCTATCTGACCTGTTCAGTTTCTCCAGTACATTCTGATTTCATTTCAGATCTTCACACCTGCAATACTGTACTTTTATCCTTAGGGATCCATTGTTTTGATGGCAGGAAGGGTTTTGGTAGCTCTAATATGGCCTGGTCTGTATATCTGCACCCATGTCTTTCTAATTGCTGATGCATTATTAATGTGCATCGTGTAGGAAATCGGCATCTCCCAGTTTGTGGATGTTCCAATGCACTGCAACACTCCTACAGAGGACATAGATTCACAGCATGTAGCAGTTGTTTAGGGAACAAAAAAAATCATTAACAGCTCAAATCATTGGTTTGCATAAAATTACTCACTTTTTTATATGTTTTGTATATATTTTTTTGAAAAATAGTTAAAATGCCTATTTTTATTTGTGAAGCATCCAGTGTTCACTAATTTGCAGTACTTTCCAGTCCAAAAGAGTCTTTTATTTAAAATTCTCATTCTGATTCTTAGCATTCTGCTGTGGCCTTAGTTCTGCCTATCTCTGTAAACTTCGCTACTCCTCTGTGAGATCTCTGCATCAATCCAATTCTTGCCTTTTGCACGTTCCTGATTTTCATTACCCCCACCCCCTAGTATTTATGGTAGTGTCTTCACCTGTCTAGCTCCCAAGGTCTAGAAGTCCCTCTCTAAATCTCTCCTTTTGGTTTTTATTTCTCAAATTGAGTTGAATGGCTTCCTACTATACTGTAAATTTATGATTCTATGATCTTGCTCCTCCTTTTAAAATGTTCTTTCCAACCAATCTTGGATTACATATCCTAATATCCCCTTCTGTGGATTGTTGTCAGTTTTTATTTCAGTGGTGTGCTTTAGATGATTGGCTACGTTAAAGGTGCTATATCAACAAAAAAAATAGAAATTCTGGAAGTACTCAGTGGTGAGCCAGTATCTGTGGAAAAAAAAGCTATTGTTTCAAATCAAAAGCCCAGTTCTGAAAAGAGATTATTGATCTAAAACAATCATTGTTTTTCTCTACTTTTTTTTTTCACTACTTTTTTTCACTACTTCAGATGCTGCCTAATCTGCTTGCATCTTTTCAGCATTTTCTTAGTATTATTTTAGTTCAAATTTGCAGAATTCATGGTATTTTGCTTCTGTACTAGAATTGTTCATTTTACGCATTACACACAAAAACTTTCAACCTCTCAAAGTCAAGTAAATGTACAAATGCCACTACACTGTGTTTGAAGGTAGTGAAGACATGTACTCTTTCTTTAGCATCCATAACATCAAAGTGTCCCTGACTTTTTACAGACGTATAATGCAAGGCATGAATGTCAAACAAAAGGGGTTGGAGATGTAAGAAGGAGTGACTTAAAGCTTGGTAAAAGAGGCTATTTTTGGATTCTGGGAATCAAAGATGGAAGATGAGAAAAACTTGTGGCTGTAAAGAGCTGTTCCTTGTGTTTTTAAAATATTTTCAGTGTTGGAGCTGATTTCCTCACATTTTTGAAGCAGTAGTTACTGTTTTATGAGCTGTTGTATTGTTTTGGAACTTTTGCGGGGGAGAAAGAAGATCAAAACAACAGCACTTCCTTTTTTTAAAAAAAAGAAGGAGGGGGAGAGAGAGAGAGCAGGTACTATTTGGGAGGTGGGTAAAAAAACAAGCAGTGAACCTTCACAGTTGACTGCCTCCGCTGTTAGTTTCCCTGAAGGTGGGGAGTCCAAAACTAGAAGGCATAACTTTACGTTGAGATGGGAAAGAATTAAAAGGGACCTAAGGGGTAACTTTTTCTCCAGAGGGTGGCATGTGTATGGAGTGAGCTGCCAGAGGAAATGGTGGAGGCTGGTACAATTACAGCATTTAAAAGGCATCTAGATGGGTATATAGAAAGGGTTTAGAAGGATATGGGCCAAATACTGGCAAATGGGACTAGATTTATTTAGGGTATCTGGTCAGCATGGCCAAGTTGGACCGAAGGATCTGTTTTCATGCTGTAAAGCTCTATGATTCTATGAACAGGTGATGGGAATGTGGGATCTAGATTGCTGAAAATACAGAATTTGTAGTGTACCTTTCCAAAGCAAATTATTGCTTGTGGCAAAATACTCTTGTGGTGTAGTCACATTTGCAAAATGTGAAACTCAGCAGCCAATTTGCACTAATCAAGGTTCCACAGACAGCAATGTGATAATGACCAGGTAACTTGTTTTATGTTGAGAGCAGCTCTGGGAACAGAATGCTGGGAAGAATTTCCTAGCTGTCCCCCTCTATCCCTGAATGTTGCCCTTCAGATTCACTTGTATCCAGTATTTTCCAATTATCCGTTGTTTAGTCCATGTTCTTTCCGTTAGGTTAACCAACTGCAGCATGAGCTATCCAAGAAGGATGACCTCCTGCGAGTGGTGGCCAATGCTTCAGAGGAGAGTGAATCCGACTCCAGCTGCTCTACACCACTCCGCCAAAATGAGTCATTTCATCTATCACACAGCTTGATGCAACTGGATGTTTTGCAGATTAAACTGCGAGAACTGGAGGACGAAAACCTCTCTCTTCGTTCTGAGGTAGGTTTTATGACAGCCCTGAATTTAGAATAACACAGGTGTACCACATATAAGACATGTCACTGGCCTAGTTGTATATTTTGCTGTTTTGCAGATGATCATATTAGAAGGATATGCTGGGTGGATTAGAAAGATATGCAGGTAGGGTCGGGAGGCGGCTCATGCATCAGACCATTTGCCCTGAATGGCTTTTACCTAACACTGTAATTTCCTGTATTTCAGTGGGGTTGGTATCATTCTGGTGACCTTGTGTGATTTACACTTTTTAAATTCCAAGCTACCAACCAAGTTTAAATTTGTTTATTTGAATACAATCATAAAATAATTGTAGTGTTATAGGAGGCCATTTGGTCTGTGTAGACTGTCTTAGAAGCTACACTTGTTTGCAAATGGTAGAAATGAGGAGAAATTCTCTTCATTCGAAAGGGTTGTGGAGTTTGCTACCACAGGACGATGGAGATATTTCTTGAATGTATTCAAGACCGAGATGGAGAAACTTTTTGGATACGAGAAGATGCGAGGAATTTAGGGTTAGAGAAGATGAGGTGAAATATCAGCTCTAATTGAAAGTTTTACTGAGCCTTCTCAAGATGTGGGCTTTGCTGATTTGGCTGGCATTTATTGCCCATCTGTAGTTGCCCTTGAGAAGGTGGTGGTGAGCCACTGCCTTGAACATGCAGTCCATGGAATGTAGGTATTCCCACAGTGCAGTCAGGAAGGAAATCCAGAATTTTGACCTAGCAACTGTGAAAGAACAGTGATATAGTCTCATGTTGCAAGGTGTGTAGCTTGAAGGAGAAGTTGTGGGTGGTGCTCCCAACCATATGCACCTCCTGTCCTTCTCGACATTAGAGGTTGTGGGTTTGGAAGGTACTGTTGAGGTAGCTTTGGTGAGTTATTGCAGTGCATCTTGTAGGTGCTAGATACTGCTGCCACTCTGCATTTATGGTGGAAGGTGTGAATAGTTAAGGTGGTGGATGGGATGCCAATAGTTCTGTCAAACTGCTGTGATGTTTTTGGTGCTACACTCATCCAGGCAAGCAGGGAGTTCAACACACTCTCTTGAATTCTGCCTTGTAGATGGTAGACAGACTTTGGGGAACCAGGAGGTGGGTTATGTGCTGTAGAATTCCCAGCTTCTGACCTGCTGTCAAAGCTGCAATATTTATATGGCTGGCCTAGTTTCTGCTCGTTGGTAAGCTCTAAGATATTGCTAGTGGGAGAATTCAGCAATGATAATGCCATTAAATATCAAGGAGATGATCATTGCTCATCAGTTGTTGTTTGGCTCTCATCAGCCCAGTCCTGGATGTTGACCAGGTTCTAATGCATAGGGATATGGACTGCTTCAGTCTCTGAAGAATCACAAGTGGCTGAGCAGGGTTGCAGGGCTGAATGACTTATCCCTAGTTTGAACTTATTGTTCTCATGAGAAGAGTTTGTCTTTTGTTCAGCATCTTTTCATGGATACAATGTTAAAACTGGGAACTCGAAGCAGAGTTGGGACCCTGTGTCCTGCCTTTGCACACAGTACAGTTTTGCTTTCTATTCACCCAATAGTAAAACTGCTGCAACAACACCCAAAAATGTTGCTTTTATGCAAACATTAACATCGGTGAAGCGTTGCAGAAGTCAAAAAAGGAACAAAACCTGTTGGATCACATTAGCAACTGATCAGGCAGTGTGAACCACTCTGGTGTTACAGTGAAAAATGTCTATGATGATTCCATTTTTGGAATCCTGCCTGTGAACTAAATAACATATACAATTGGTGAATAAACATTTTTAGAAAAGTTCCATAAGACTATCATGATCAAGGTTTGGACAATTTTAAAAATTGTCATTCAGCATTACATTCAAATTAACTTTCGGAACTGTGTGAGCCCAAAGTTAACGTGACCTTGGTTAAACGATTGGGCACAGAATAGGATAGCTACAATCAGTAGTATTTATGTTAGGCAACATGACCAGGATTAGCCATTTAGGCAGTAGCAGTTTGGTGCTAACTGGCACCAGTTAACTTAAGGACCTTCATCAACATTTACAGAGGCACCACAGAAAACGTACAGTCCGGGTGCATAACAGCCTGGTACGGCAACTGCTCTGCCCAGGACCGTAAGAAAGTTCAGGTTGTGAGCACAGCCCTGAACGTGACAGACACAAACCTCCCATCCACGGATTCCATTTATACTTCTTGTTGCTGCGGAAAGGCTGCCAACATCATCAAAGACCTCTCCCATCCTGGTAATGCTCTCTTCCAAACTTCCCTCAAGCAGAAAATGCAGAAGCTCGAACACACGCACCAACAGGTTCAAGAACAGCTTCTTCCCTGCTGCTATTAGACTGCTGAATAAACTCTCTAGCTTCAAATAATGTTGATCTTGCCTTATTTACCTCCCTGTGCAGTTGTAACCTATGTGCCTTGCTCTTCTAAGCACCCTGTGATCTGTATGTCCTTGTTTGCTATGTTCTGCCAGTATTGCTAGCAAAACAAGGCTTTTCACTGTACTTGGGTACATGTGACTACAATAAATCAAATCTAATCTAATCAAACATGGGCTTCTGGGAACTTGTAACCTGGATTAGCAGCCTGGGATGGTACAAAGAGCCACCTAGATTAGCAGCACAAACACTAGTGAGTACGACTAGGAACAGTGGTATAGGTGCCTGGAACTGTCAGCAGAATTAGCAGTACGAGTGCTTGGGGTTAGCAGTGTGTCACTTGTTAGTGTAAGTCACATCTCTCCTCTCTTGGGATTTTCTTGGTGCCAGTCTCTGAGTTCACCAATTGAAATTCTTTAACAGCAGAGCTGTTATTGCTGAGGTTCTGTTCAAGGTTAATGACTGTTTGTTTGATATTGCACCTATAATTTTTATTCCTGGAACTGCGGTTTTAAAACTCATCGTAAAACTATTGTTGATTTGCAATGCTGTTAATGAATATTTATGCTTAATCCTTAACATGCTTAGTCACACCTTGAAATTAGCTGTACACAGTGATACGGTACATCCCTTTAAAGGATCAGAGTAAAGGTTATGATGAGTGGGACAAAATGATGCACAGTTAATGTTTTGACCCTGGTTTAAACCTGGTCTAAACTGTTATAAAAGAAGTCCCTGCCTGATAATGTAACTGATATAAAACATACTTGAAAAATTCTGCGTGCTTCTGAACCGTGTGAGTCTTGGAGATAAAACTGCCACAATTTGTCTATTTCATTTACGTCCTGATGATGGTTAGAGAGGGAATGGAAACATTCGTATCAGTTTGTTAGGTGGGAATTTGCTTTTAGCAGGTAGGCAATGAAAAAGCGTGTTATTGTAATAATGTAGGAGCTGTACCTGCAAACGAGGGCCTGGTGTCAGCTTTGCCCGGAGTTTCTTGCAAATAATCTTTTTTTCGTTTACAGTTGAGCGTTTGTTTCATTTTGTGCTGACTTTCTGACATCCATATTGAACTCTAAGCGTGCAAATGCCACCGCTCACTTAAAAACAGTGGGAGCTGGCAGACGGTCTGATGCTGGGAAGTAGCAACTGCAGTGTGATATGAAGAAATAATTTGTCAATGTCCTTAACCTAGTCTGATTGTGTTTGTCTCTGTTTCTTCATTCCAAAGGCTTGTCACCTGAAGACAGAAACGATCAACTATGAAGAGAAGGAACAGCAGTTGGTCAATGACTGTGTGAAGGAATTAAGTAAGTACGAATAAAGGAAAAGAGAGACTTGTATTTACGTAATGGCCAGAAATTCAATCAAGGTTGGAAACCCTATTTCTGACCTTGATCAGACATTTAAAATAAAACATTGATACATTTAGATGACTTTGGAATATCCTGGATGGGCACTTCTAGTTATGAAACAGGAGAGACCTGTCCAGAAATCCTTGCAGCTAGCAGGGCAGAAAATCAGAGTTGATAGTGCATCCCCTTTTGCAGCAGTAAAATGCTATGTTCTGTGATTTAAACATTCAGTGCAGCTAGCAACTTTTAACAACTACTGTTAAAGGCTAAGGATATATGAGAGTTTGGGTAGAATGCCACATGGGTGAAAGGGGTTGGTTGTTGGTAAATTAAAGAATGCCTAGGAGAGGTCAAGAGGTCTGATCCACTCTGGGAGTTGTTGGATTAAGGGCTGTGAGTAGGGGCCTGGGATCGGGAATTGCTGTCGGATCTGGAAGAAGGGCAACATGTCAGGGTGGGGATAGGTCTTGTCGAGTTGAAGGGGTGTCAGACTAGGGCAGTGCAGTTGTGAGATGTTGAATTGGTGGGAGTCAGTGATGAATCAAGTGTCAGTATAATAGATAGCCAGGAGTTAGTAGATTTTTGATACTCTAACTTATCCTGGTAACTACTAAGTTAAAGTAAGTCTGGACTGTCGGGCGTTTCCCACATAAACTTTTTCAGAGGGTTCCAGACACGGGGAATTTCCTATCGGAGTTTTCAGTTTCAAGGGCAGTTTCAGTGGAGTCGGCAACATTGGGATTTCTGCATCGGCTCTGTGCAACTCCAGTCTGTACTGCTGCAATGAATATCTCGCCATTGGAATATCTGGGTTAATGATTTGCACAATTTGATATTAGAATGACAGCCAATGAAGTACTTTAGACTAGTCACTGCCGTTATACTCCCCCATTTTTCCTTAAAATTATGCCATGAAATCTTTTATATCCACCTACAGCAACGGACTGGATGTAAAAGAATTTTCAAAACTTAACACAAATGTAAAAGCAAATCTCTCAGTTGGACATATAGGAAATCTGTTGATCATATGATTTGAATGAAGTTACCCACAATCTTCAGTTGTCGAAGCATCTTTCAGGCACCACTTCCCAGACTTTCCCAATCTTACATTTAAGGTCTCACCCGATGGATGCCATCTCTGTCATGGCAGTGCAAACTAAAGTACCAGCCAGGATTTTGTGTTAAGGGTTAAACTGAATGCCAGAGGACATTTGCAGTCTATACTCCAGACTGTCATAGCCAACTGAAAATCATGGCTCCTGTGCAAAAGAATTGTCTGTCATTTTATTGCAACAAATTCTGAGCCTGCAACTATGACTTTTAAATCTGAAAATGTTGGTCTTTAATCTCTCTTCGGGAGTTCACATGTCCTGTGGTAAAGCACTACTCGGTGCAGTGCTCAGTCATGTAGATCACAAGGTCCTTCGGTTCAGTTCATTCTGCATGTTGTATCTTTTGTTCTTCATCTGGTTGTGTTCTGTAGTGCCTTCTGTGCTTGCCCTTATAAGGGTTGGTGTTGCAGATTTGGGAAGGTTCTTTTGGAAGAAACTGCAGTATCCTCACGGAATTTCTATTGATTTGAATGATCCGTCACATTCACACGATCACTATTTCTTTGTCGTCTTAACTTACCTCATTCTCCCACTTCTCTTTTTTTTCTTTTTTCTCTTCTGAAGAAGAAACAAATATCCAGATTTCCAACCTGGCAGATGAACTCTCCAGAAAGAATGATGACATTGCACGTCACCAGGAGGAGATCACCAACTTGCTCAGTCAAATTGTGGAGCTCCAGCTTAAAGTCAAAGAGGCAAGTGTGAAAAACATGTGAACTGTGATAAAGATTTTAACAGAAATTCTATTACCAAGGTTGGTGGGGAGGCCTCCCTGCCACTTGGGTTTTGTTTTGATTTCAAAACATGTCATGGGTCTTGATATTTATTTTCCCAGTGTGCCATTGAAAAAGAGGAACTTAAACAACATTTACAGGCATCCAAAGATGCCCAAAGGCAGCTCACGGCAGAAGTGAGTATTTCACTTTTTAAACCCTATGCCAACTTTTAACATTTAAGGTAATGGTGCATTTTCATGTTTTAAGGTTGCACCTGCTCTAACCTCGGATAAGGAATTCTGACTCTGTTGAAGTGAACGTATGATAAAATATAAGAACAGAAGGAGAGCAATCATCATTGAGTCTGCTCTGCTATTCAGTGAGATCATGACTGATCTAATAACAGCAATTTCTGCTTTCCTGAATCGATTCTCTTTTATTAATTATAAATCTGTCCATCTCTGCCTTGAATACACTTAACTATCGTACCTCCACATTTTTCCATATCCAGCTGTTCAGTCTTAATGACAGTGTCCATTTGTTGCTCAGTTATGGGTAGATAGTGCTTATACTCTTGCATACTCTGGGATTGATACAAGAGAACCGTATTTCTACCCAGAGATGATCGGAACTGCAGATGCTGGAGAATCCGAGATAACCAGGTGCAGAGCTGGATGAACACAGCAGGCCAAGCAGCATCAGAGGAGCAGGAAGGCTGACGTTTCGGGCCTAGACCCTCCTTCAGAAATGGGGGAGGGGAAGGGGGTTCTGAAATAAATAGGGAGAGAGGGGGAGGCGGATAGAAGATGGATAGGTTAGGTGGAGAGGAGACAGACAGGTCAAAGAGGCGGGGATGGAGCCAG